ACACTACATCAGCTCCTGGATTCTAAAGGGCTCAATTTTTCACATCTCTGAAATTGAAAGTTTTCAAAGATTATTGCAGGGTGCCACCACAGAGACAAAGTTGTCCTCAGCTGATGTTGTGGTGCATGTCTGAAGATGGCCAGTAACGGGCAGGAACTGTTTATCTGAATGTCACCTCAGCTGATTCCTTGCATTGGAAGCAGTACACGCAATGCATTGAATCTAGATTTAAATTCATAATTGCCACTTAAAAGGTCTGAATGATTATACTATAATTTAATATTAGATATAACCTATGCAGAAGAGTCTGAAATCAAATTCAGAAAATAAAATTCTGTAAGTAAAGTGATTATTTATTATGAGCAGAATGACTGGACTTTTGTACTTTGTCACGAAGCAACATTCAGGTACAACAGATGACCAAGCAGGGAAGAGAGCTGAATCTAGAGCAAGCCCCTTTCCATCTTCCTCCCTGAGACAAGGGTAAAACCTGTGTTGCTTATCACATGCCTTGCAATGTGTTAAGGGCAGCAGAAGCTGCCTTTTTCTAGAACAGCTTATATATGTGTTAAATCACTAGTGGTTGGTTTGACCAATTTGTGACACGAACAGGCATCATTCAATAGTTTCCAGTTCACCTTCAAAGAAAATTTTCAACTACATTTGTGACTTTGGATTGGTTACTTTCTCCCTCAGGACCTCAGTCTCCTTATACGTGAACTGTGGTTTAGTAAAAGTAACTATGATATCTCAGAGGTTGAGAATTAAATGAGCTGACACTTGAAAGCACTTGGAACAGTGGCCAGCACACAGGAAGTGCTGTACCAGTGTTTGGTGTTATTATTAATCTTTTAATGCAATTTGTATATGAAATTAGAGAAAATTAAATGAAAACTTTTCACCAAACTCACAATTCAGAAGGAATTTCTTGTCTTTCAATATGCTTTCAAAGTACGTAGGTGATCTTGAAAATGGTAAAATGATCAAGTCAAAAACAAGTTCTGAAGGGCAGAGTGTGGCAGCAGGTGTCTCAGGGATGCTGTGCTAAATGACCTGTGGCCAAAGCAATTCAGAAAGTGCTCAGACTCTTTAGGTTTCTCCAATTATGAAATCTTAAAATTTGGGTATTGATGGGAACACATTACATAATTGAATGGATAAATGTATGGTATGCCAGTCAGCCAAAAACATTGCATACAATTAATGTAGATTTAATTTTTTTCCTTCAAAAGTTATCAAAAAATTAAGTGCAGCTTAGAAATGACATAAGAGCTGCAAAATGTTGAAGACTTTCCAGATGCCAGGTGCTGGCACTTCACATTGATTCTATCTCTTAATCCCTACAATAGCTCAAAGCTCGTTTTAGAGATGAGGACACTGGGGATTAGAAAGGTTAATATAAGTAACATGTCCAAAGCTAAACTTTTACTCATTTTAGCTGAGTCACTGAGAGAATTTTTAAATTCTGCTGGGCCTTCATTAAAAAACAAACAATATTTGTGTTATTGTGGCAAGACTCTTTCAGTTGCAAGTGAACAGTTTCAGCAGAAGAGATTTAGCTTGTTGATTTACCTGGGAAGGGCAGGAGTGAGGCTGACTTAAGACATGATTGGATCCAGAGACTCACTAGATTCTGTCTCTCTGTCTCCCTCTCGCTCTGTTCCCAGGGAAGACAGTCAATATCAGCTCCAATCTCCCTCACATTATCTCATCTTAACAACTTCAGCAGAAAGATAGACATCTTGCTCACAGTGTCCATACATAAAGTACCAGAGAAGATTATACTTAGACCAATCCCTGTTGCTAGGCAGATGTGGTACACCCTGATTGGTCAGTTCTGGGTCACGTGATTCCCTCATCCTGTGGTGCATCATGATATTTATGGTCATGCTGATTATTAAACCATGTAACTATTAAACAAAAAGGCCTATGCAAATTCTCTGGGCCATGTGAGAAATGAAAGACAACACTGACTGTTAGAGCTGCTGGCTTTCTTTTCACTTCCATACCTCTTTATGTTTCCACCTAAAAGTTCCATCTTTTAATCCCAGAATTACCTGGAGGACTGGGCCACCTTTCTGAGATCAAAATTTTGATCTGAATTCCTGTAGGGTGAGCACTAAATCCCTTTGACCTGAGCTCTTTATTTATTCTAGTCTCTGTATTCATAGCCACAGACCTGTGGAGGCCATGCATTCAGGTGGTGCCAAAGTCACCCTGAAGTTGACAGACTCCAAGATTCCCCCAATGTTTCCATCGTCTGGTATTCCAGCCCTTGGGTAATACCCACCTTTGGAAACTAAGCTGGACCTGGTGACTTGCTGGTAACAATAGAATACAGTGAAGTGATGGAATATATATTTTGGGATCACAATGGGACAGGATATATGGGACTAGGGGTCAATTGTCTCAAGGTTGGCTGTCCAAGCCAGGCTGGGGAAGCAGACTCCCCATGGAACCCAATCATAAATGACCCTGCATTCCTTTTCTACCTGAGTGGTTGCTCCTCTAGATGTCAACCTCCACAGTCCCTGTCATCAGAATGAGAAGAAATCGCCATCAGTGATTCTCATCCTGGCTGGAATGAACTAGGGATCCCTCTGTAAAAAAGGATGAGAAGGGAAGAGAAGAAACAAAGACTCCAAAATCTAACACATCTTGAGCCCAAACACTCCTCTAAATCAGGTCCACGTGGCTGGAAAGTTGAGGAAGGTAAGTTTCTGATCTCCCCGTGCTGCCCGCTGTGGCCCAGAACCTTTCTCCGACTTAGAATAATGTCCCAGGGAGCCCACAGTGGTGAACACTGTAAATTTATCTCAGCTCAGCTCCAGAACAGACCACCACAGCCACCCACTCCTGGGAAGTCCTATTCTCTCTATATGTATTAGCTCAGTTGAGTGCAACAGAAACCCAAATAACAGTGTCTAAATAGGATGATGCTTGTATGTGTTGGACATGACAGTGAGGCAGTTGGTCCAGGGCTGCTAGGGTGACTCTGCACCACGAGGTTGTCCAGGAATCCAGGTTCCTATGACCTTCCTTTTCTGCTGTCCCTGGGATGGTACCCTTATCAGCATGATCTGAGGTACCTAAGAATATGCCCATGGTCCATGAACAGGGCAGGGAAAGCAGAGAAGGAGGTAGTTTCCTCCCTTTAAGGACAACGCTTACAACTTCACATCTGCTTCACAGTATTGGCCAGAACTTAGTCAGATGATCACAACTAGCCTCGAGGGAAGCAGGAGAATGAATGCAGTTTTCAATCTGGGTGACCATGTGCCAGATAAAACTCTATTGCTATGAAATAAGGATGATTTATGCTATACTTAGTAAATTTTTAAAAATCAGGAGTGACAGATTTGTTATCAATATCTTAAACTGAACCATATTTGTATGTAAAAAAGAATAATGTCAGCGTATACTGTTAATTGATAACAAAGATGCAAACAGAATGTGTGGTAAAATACCACCTGATACAAAGGGAAATCTCTCTATAATACTGTGGACACTGGTAACAGTGATTATGGCCAGGGAGGGAATGTGGAGGAATTGTAGATGAGAGAGAGGAGATAATTTACTTTTCACTGTAAACTCTTTTATGTTATATGAATTTTTAAAGCCTTGTGCATGTATTACCCATTCAAAATAAATTTTGAATTACCAAAGAAAACCCCACATTCATTTAGCAAACATTTATTAGGCAGTTACTAAAGGGCAGGCTCTCTGCTAGGCTCAGTGAGGGAAACATCAAGGAATTCACAATGGGGTAGAATAACCTGGTAAATGCAAAATGTTATAATTAACAGTTGGGAAACAGCTTCTAGGTGCAAGCAATGTCTAGACTGAGACCTGGCAGAGGAATACACTTAATCCAAGTAAGTGGGCAAAGGAAACCTTTTAGAGAAAGAGCATCACAAACAAAGGCTCAGATAGAGAGAAAGAGCATGTGGGGATGTGGAGGAACTGTTAGCAGATCAGGGTGGAGATTAGAGAGAGAAGAGCACAGGGACAAAAAGTGGGAGTGGTGTGGTGACCATGCTCCAGATCACAAGGCCATCTCAGCTTGAGGAAAACCTTGGCTTTTAACCCGAGAACAGCATGCAGCATATGGCAGCACTGAAGCCAGGGAGACCCTGATCAGATTCACATTTTGGAAGAGTCTCTCTGGTTGAAGTATGAGAATGAACTGCGAGACACTAGACTGGATACATGGAGAAGAAGGGGGTTGGGCAGGGAAAACCTTGCAGGAACAATAATGAGACTATTAGGATGGAGGAAAAGGGTTAAAAGGACCAGAGACTTCTGAGTGTAAGTTCAAGTGCTTGTCATGGGAACAGAAGCATGTGAAAATGCAGTGGGAAAGAGAGGTCCCCAAATGGTTAGCATCCCACCTGGAAAAATGATGTAAAACAAGCAGTTTGGGTCTGTAGCTTAAGGAGTGGGTGGGTTCATAAGTTGTTGGGTGATTGGAAGTAAGGGGAACAGTTCAATTTAGTGGAATTCTCTAAACACTTGAGTGCCTACTGTGTGCCTGGTGTTGTGCCACTCCCTGCATAAAGAAGACTAAGGTACATTCCTTTGTGACCTAAATGTCTCGTCTTTTTTTTTTTTTTTTTTTTAAAGATTTTATTTATTCATTTTTTTCCCCCCAAAGCCGCAGTAGATAGTTGTATGTCATAGGTTCACATCCTTCTAGTTGCT